ATTTTAAATGTTTTGAATTTCGTACGTTTATGCATTTTTAGGGTTTCAATTTATCACATTTTTATGGTCTTTAATTTTTACATTTTTATGTTTGCAAATTTCTACATTTTTATGTTATTAAATTTTCACATACTTATGGTTTTACATTTCCACATTGTTATATTTTTGAATTCTTATATTTTGATATTTTGATATTTCTGCATTTTTATATTTTTAAATTTTCGTATTTCAAATTTCCATATTCCAGATTTTCATATTTCAAATTTTCACAGTTCTATGTTTTTATTTCCATATCGTTATATCTTCAATCCATATTTCAAATTTCAGAAGTTCAGTAATTAAAAATTTCAGCCATTTGAATATCTAGAGATATCAAGCTTTAAATTTTAAACCTGCACTAATTATTTGCAGTCACTATAAATAATTTGTATACCCCTCATTTTATATTAAATAGTAATCAAATTTTACTGCATTTAATAACTCTCCACAAAAAATTACTAGAATAAAACTTTATCTGAATTTAAATTTTATTAATGAAATTAATACAATTTTATTAGTCACATTAATCAATTAATAAAATTTATTAGTCACTTAATGAAATTTTATTAATATCATTTAGATAAATAATAATCTTTTTGTTTTTCAAAAATTTTATTATAAAATTATATTAGATTCAATCCCCTATAAATGAAACAACCTCTTGACAATTAATTCCACCATTCAAGAATTAATTTTTCTTTTCATCCAATAACTACTTAATCCTGTCGTTCTAGTAATCAAGCTTCAAAGGATCAATTTCATATTTTTCACTTTTTTTATAAAATGTCCTATCAAATTTTTATACTAAAATCAGCTAAAATTGCACTGAAAAATTTTCTAGAGATATTGTTCACGTACCTCAAAAATACCTAGTTATATCTAGTTAATCTTGTTAATCTAAATACGTCGTATATGTAATTACACTTGATCAATACCGAATTACCCTTAATCATTATCTAATTACACCTGATACGTATCTGATAACTTTTGATAAATATTTAATCACCCTCGATAAATCTCTCATCACACTTGCTGAAATTTTAATTATTGTTGCCTGTCCAGTTATATTTGATCTGTGATTAATTACTAATTATCTTGTTGCATTTGATGAGCATCTAATTGTAATTAATAAATAATTATCTATGTTAAATACACAGCTATAATTAACTAGTGTTATAATTATCTAATTACATTTCATAAATTTGCAATTTAATAAATATAATTATATTTTGTATTTTAAATTTTAACCTAGTTACATTTTATACTTATTATAACTAATAATTAATAATTATTTAATCATAATTATATACCCTAACCACTTGAACACATAAAGAGTTCGAAATATTTATTTATTAAATTCGCAGAAAATGGAAAAATTTAAAAATCGGCAAAATTTCCGGGAAAGATTATAAAAACGATCCTTTGAAGTTCACCTGCGCATATTTCAATTAATATTTTTCCGCGCAGCAAAGCGTCGAGAGTGGTGTCATTTTTTTTTAATTTGCGCGTAATATGTCGTGGCAGCTAAATACGAATATTGATGGAAACGCGATTAACGAACGAATATTTTATCAACTCAAAGCTAATTAATTTGACGAAAACGTTCCGGAGCCCTTGATCGACCGGTCAAAATAATTTTCCACTACACACGCGATTCCGGTAAAGTAAACCGATATATCGGTTGTTATTTCGGTTATCAGCCATTCCAATCTACGTTTGAACGTTCGATAAAGAACGCGAAATGAAAATTTTAATTAAAATCATTTCGCAGCGCCGATAGTTCTCATCCGACTTTCATTTCTTCTCGTAATGCTTTTAATCTCGCCTAACTATCGGACTCTTTCGATCATTATTACTCAACCGTTTCCTGCGAATCGCTGTAAAACGTGTCCGATAATTTATCGTTTTCCCGAGTGCTTTTCATCATGATAGACAAATGAAACACAAATACACCTCCACCCTTATATTTAAACAGCTTTAAACACGGAAAAATGTTTCGGACAAAAGTTGTAGTTATCAAGGGGTTGGTGGCAACAATTTGACCTTGTTCGTTTGAAGGTCAGTCTTCAGTTTCTTAAATAGAATCCCCATTTATTGCATATTGTAGCCTCGACGTTTTCAAAACCTACGTTTGTTTTTTGTGCGAGTCATTCCCAAGATACGAAGCTTCAAAGTTGACACATAAGTGGCGTAAATCTGATCGTGCAACCCTCGCGCGGTGCACCTTGGGTAATGTGAATGTCGACGATATGTCAACTTCGAAGCTTCGTATCTTGGGAACGACTTGCACAAAAAACATAGGTTTTGAAAACGTCGGGCTACAATATGCAATAACTGGGGGTTCTATTTAAGAAACTGACGTTCACGTGACCTTCAGATCCAAGGTCAAATTGTTGCCACCGACGTCCCTTGATGTACTACAACTTTTGTCTGAAACATTTTTCCATATTTACCGTTTAATCACTTATACCGATCGTGGTACTTTAGTCCTACTTGGGGTAGTTTAAAAATTGGGGTACTTTAGAGACACCCTGTATATAACGTACAGATAAATGATTACGAACCTACCAGCGCGTGATTAATGATTTTCCACCTAGCTTATTTCAAGTATAATTAAAATTAAAAATCTATTTATTCTCGTATGCGACGAAGCGTTAAAAAGTTACATCTGTTTATGATTGCTGTACAAAAGGAGGTTAAAATTAATATTCTTTTCAGGGGGAAAATTAATTTTTAATTAACGTTCTTATATTTCGCGAACCATTACCTTTCTTCTTGGCAATCTTTGTCCCAGTTTAATGCAATATTATTACGGTTAATACAATGTTAATCTTAAATGAATTCATGTCAGCATTTTGATGCTCGCAACCAGGAATATTTCTACGATTATTATTTCTACAGTATAAACACACAGGTGAATATATTTATGTATCCCCCATATTTTAATTTTGAGATGCTTTGAAACTTCTCCAATTTTTACGTTTCGGCATGCTCACATATGTATTTTGTATTTATTAGTATCAAGTACCTTTGTATATCTCGATGTATGCATCCTCAGCCTGGTTCACATGTGCACATGGCACGTATGAAAATATTTACGAAGCAAATATTTGCTCTGATATAGCAATAATATTTACTCTTACACAGTGGAAAAGAAACGTTTGTTCGAATATTTTTGAATGATTGTTTTTGAAGACAGTTTTATCTTGTTCATTGTAACTGGGAATGTGTAGATGTGAGTCAGGCTTTATTTTCTGGAAGAAGATAGTTTTCATATGCGAATGTATCGTTCTCAAAAAATTGAATGAAAATGTAAAGATGAAGTTATGTGTCCATTTGAAGGGGAATCTTCGAGATTAGTAGATTGTGAGTCAATAGAAATTTCAAGTACAAACATTTTTTAAGTTTTTAAATTTCCAAGTTTTTCAGTTTTCAAGTTTTCGAGTTTTCGAGTTTTCGAGTTTTCGAGTTTTCAAGTTTTCGAGTTTTCGAGTTTTCGAGTTTTCGAGTTTTCGAGTTTTCGAGTTTTCGAGTTTTCGAGTTTTCGAGTTTTCGAGTTTTCGAGTTTTCGGTTCTCAAGTTTTCAATTTTTCGATTTCTCACTTTTCAACATTTCCAATTTCCCGATTTTCCAATTTCTAATTTTCCAAATTCCCAAATTCCCAAATTCCCAAATTCCCAAATTACCAAATTCCCAAATTCCCAAATTCCCAAATTCCCAAATTCCCAAATTCCCAAATTCCCAAATTCCCAAATTCCCAAATTCCCAAATTCCCAAATTCCCAAATTCCCAAATTCCCAAATTCCCAAATTCCCAAATTCCCAAATTCCCAAATTCCCAAATTCCCAAATTCCCAAATTCCCAAATTCCCAAATTCCCAAATTCCCAAATTCCCAAATTCCCAAATTCCCAAATTCCCAAATTCCCAAATTCCCAAATTCCCAAATTCCCAAATTCCCAAATTCCCAAATTCCCAAATTCCCAAATTCCCAAATTCCCAAATTCCCAAATTCCCAAATTCCCCAAATTAC